TTTTTTTTGATAAGATAAGTGGTATTAATAACAGCATCGGGAAGATGCAAAATTTACAAGATATGGCATTTGAGCTTACAAAAAAATCTCTGGCTAACTATACAAACTATCTAAGCCAGAGCTAATGAGTTAGTAAAATCCTGAAGTTGTTCTGCATTAACAGCAGGATACAAGTTGGACCAACTAAACAAATTTTCAATGCACCTAGTCTTCAAAATGCCTAAAGCAGTTGACTCTCCATCAAAACATCTCTTGTTCCTCTCTAACCAAATACACCAAAAAATACAAGCAGGTATCATAATCCAGATCTTCTTGATGGCTTTGTCAACTTTCCATAGACTCCAACTCTCATATGCATCCTTAACAGTGAGGGGTGTGGTCCAATTGATGCCAGAGAGACAAAAAAACATGCTCCATAATTCTGAGGCCACCTCACAATGAAGAAGAAGGTGTCTGGGGGTTTCAGCCTCTTTTTTGCACATATAGCATCTGTTTGGGAATTGGATTTTTCTTTTCTTTATGTTGTCTTGGGTGAGACATGCCTCATATAGAGCTATCCAGGTAAAAAAAACTACCTTAGGTGGTAGCTTGGTCCTCCAAATGAGTTTCCAGGGCCAGTTAGCTATCACGGGGTTTCTAGAGCACAACTGTTGATACCCTTCCTTGATTGTATAAACTCCTTTCTGGTGTCCCCATTTGAGCTTATCAGCTGCCTGGAGATTAATGTGACAATGTTGTAGTCTAGCAAAAAGGTCTACCAGATCATTCACTTCCCAATCGTGCATATTTCTTCTAAATCTCAGATCCCAATTGATCCCTTCTCTATTAGCAGCAATAACAAAATTGGGATCTTGAGCAATTCTAAACAGATCTGGGAAATCCTCCTGAAGAGTGGTACTAGGTAACTTTCGTGCACCTCAACTAATTCCACTAGATACATGTTACCTCTCACCAACAGCTTGTACTAGGTAACTTTGTCTATCAAGGCTAGGACAGATGAGAAAGAACCACCTAGTGTTTGTGTTGTCTCTATTAGTGTTTGAACCTGAGACCTCATGGTTCTCAACCCACTTCATTGATCACTAGGCCGCACCCTTGGGTGCTATGTATATAGTGTTTATGGAGGTCAAGTTATTTCTTGAGTCAAGTTTATTATGTGCTCTTATGCACTGTTCTTCTGTTAGGTTTCCATAACCACATTCTTGCATTATAGAGAACCCAATGTGGCTAGGTATGTCTACCGTTTGATATACTTATGGAGATTTCCCCAACACTAATACGATAACTTACCTTATTAAAGGAAACCATATTTCAGCATAATAAATAATCATGTCTATTCAGGAACTAATTGTAATGTATCATCAAACTAAATAATCTTCTTTTGTTTCTTACTAGGGAAATAGGCCGCGCTTCGCGTGATTATAAAAATTCTCATGTACCAGGTACCTGTGTCCATCAAGGCTAGGACAAATGAGAAGAAATCACTTAGTGTGTTTGTCTACTTTGTTGAGATTTGAACCTGAGACCTTATGGTTCTCAACCCACTTCATTGATTTATTTAATCTTTTTCGTCTATAAATGTTGACGCTTCTTATCTCTATATGTCATGCTATCAACAACTATGTATTGTGATATTTTAGAATTTTGACCTAAGTCAATGATAGGAAAAATAGTTAATCCGTGTAGAATTTTTCTTATAGTTTGACAGACTTGCATTCACTTATACTTTGGTTCTATTTGTTGATTTGCATATGTTGTGAGCCATTCAATTGAGGAAGCAAGAGAGAGAAACAACCAAAGGGTTGGGGGGGGGGGGGGTGCGCGGCCTGTTTATATCCCGCCGGGG